CACACGCTTCCTGGGCCGATGACCAGGCGACTCAGCGGTCGTCACAGGGTTACACCTTCAGTCTTGGCTCTGGTACTCTCTCGTGGAGGTCTACTCGTTCGTCTTCTGTGCTTGGTTCCAGCTGTGAGGTTGAGATCTACGCTGGGGCTATGGCTGCACAGGAGCTACGCTGGCTGACCTATCTGCTGACCGACTTGGGGGAGCGGACTCGTTCTCCTCTAGTTGTGTACGTCGACAACAAAGCGATGCTTGCCTTGTGTCATGAGCAGAGACTGGAGCTCAGAATGAAGCACATTGCTCTTCGCTACTTTCTTGCTCGAGAGCTGTAGCATCGTGGTCAGCTTCGCCTTTCCTACGTAGCCTCTCGGGCCAACACTGCTGATGTCTTTGCAAGGCCCGCGGGTCTGGTGATCATCAGCGCTTTTGCACTACTCTTGGGCTTTTGCCCACTTCCTGACCTACTTGTCTCTTGATCTTGCACTTGTTGTACAGTGATATATATATATGTATATATATATACATTTATATATGCCTGCATGTTTACCCCTGTTAGGTTGTAAGCACTGTACTTCCTTGCTATTACAAGTTTGCATGTGAACTAGCCTTGTGGCCGCTTGCTTGTGTTCAGAATGCGTGGTGATCTTGAGATCTACCGTGAGCTTTGCATTGCTTTGTTGACTCGCCTGATTGGTCTTGTGACCGTTTGTTGTGTTGGCTAACCCTGTGAGAGTAAGATGGCTTATGCTGACCTTTCTAGCATTCCTGGACTTTATTATGCTCTAACTAGCTTGGGTTTATTTTATCATATATAGATATGCTTGATTTCCTAGGTTAGGTGCATTCCTATATTTTATTATTGTTATAGCACCGAACTCGGCTACGTGTACCGAACTCAAGCCAATTCAGTTTCCACCGAATTGCTTTCTACTAAGTTGGGGAAGGTTCTGTTCGGGACGATTCGCGGCCCTCAGAATATTCGCGTAACACCTGGGTTACCTCTCTTGTGTCGAGCCTATATTTAGCCTCGTCTTGTACCCAGGTAATCATTCAATTCAAACTCTCTTTCCTGAGCTATATCCTAGATCATCATACTTGGAAATCAGAGCCCGTTTGCACAAGAAGTTTCTCGACCGCTAAAACCTAGCTTTTAAAACCGCGGGGGCGATAACGAAAGCGCCGATTTCGGGGTGCGTAAACCAGTTTTGCCTATTTTTTAGGGGTACGTAACCGGTTTTCAAACACTCCCCAGGTTCAGTGGCGAAAAAGTTGGAATTTCGACCGTTGGATCGTTTCCTGCCCTGCCCGAAGCGCGTTTCGCGCTCTGCCCTGCTGCCGCTGTTGCGGCCCTGCCCTGCTCGTGCTGCCCGTCGCGGCCCTTCGCGGCCCCTTCGCGGCCTCTTCGCGGCCCCGTCGCGACCCCTTCGCGGCCCCGCACTGGCCCCTTCGCGGCCCCCTTCGCGGCCCCCCCCTTTGCGGCCCCGCCCCGGCCCCGTCGCGGCCCCTTCACGGCCCCTTCGCGGCCCCTTCGCGGCCCCGCCCCGGCCCCGTCGCGGCCCCTTCGCGCCCCCCCCCCTTTACGGCCCCGTCGCGGCCTCGCCCCGGCCCCGCCTCGTCGCCCGTCGCGGCCCGCCCTGCCTTGGGCGTCGACCCGCCGTTGCGGCCCCGCCCTGCCCCTCTCGCCGGCCGCGGCCTCCAACTGCAGCAGCCGCCGGGAGCCCTGCAGCAGCTGCTGTCCCTGCCGCCGCCACCGAGCCTACCGCCGCCGGTGTGGTGAGCCGCCACCGCCGCTGCTGTCATTGCTGCCCCGGCCCTGCCCTGCAGCCGAGCCGCGGCCCTGATCTGCCGCCCAGTTGCGGCCCCGACCCTGCCGGCGCACCACGGCCCTGCCTCTCCAGTGGCGGCCACCCTACCCACCTGCCCCTGGTAAGCGCGTTGCCGCCCTGCCGAACTGCCCTGCCGAGCTGCGCCGTTTAGCCGAGTTGCACTGCCGCTGCTGCTGCTAGCCTGCTGCTGCTGCTGCTGCTGTCATGGCCAGTCCCAATGTGCTTTCCTACGATACTGAGGGTCGAGCGGTCGATTTTGAGGTCTGGGTCGATGATCTGCAGCTTTTCCTGCAGTGCGATAGCAAGGACGGTATCTCACTGTTCGATCTCACGTCTGGCGCCTCTGCTGCCCCTGCTGCCGATGCTGACAGTACTATTCGCTCACAGTGGACCACACGCGATGCTGCTGCCCGCCTTGCTGTGCGTAGTCACCTGCCGTCCTCTGAGCGCGCGCACTTTAGTCAGTACAAGAGTGCTAAGACCCTGTACGACGCTGTAGTTGCACGCTACTCCTCCCCTGCCACTGCTGCCCTTAGCCGCCTCATGCTGCCGTACCTGTTCCCTGACCTCGCCGCTTTTGCCTCAGTCGCTGACCTCATTACGCACCTCCGCACTAGTGACACCCGCTACCGCGCTGCGCTTCCTGCTGAGTTCTGCGCCAAGAACCCCCCCCCCCCCATGTACATCACCCTCTACTACCTAGTCACCCGGCTCCCTGACACCCTTCACTCCGTCAGGGACCACTTCCTCTCTCTTTGCCCCACCACACTCACCGTTGACCTCCTCGAGGAGCGCCTCCTTGCAACCGAGAAGAGTATTACCGCTGTAGGAGCCTCTCGTGGTGACCCCCGTACCCCTTTCTTTGAGGGGTGCTCCCCCGTCCCCCTGTTGCCCTCTGTTGCCTCTGCTGCTGCTGTCGACCTCGTTGGCACCGAGTCGGTCGGCGCTGCGTCTGCTCCTAGTGGGAGGCGCCGCAACAGCAAGGGCAAGGGGGGCAAGGGTGCTGGAGGAGACGGCGGGGGCGGCGGTGGTGGCGGTGGAGGCGGTGGAGGGGGTGGGGGTGGAGGTGGGAGTGGTGGCGGGGGTGGGGGCTTCGGTGGCGGCAGTGGAGGTGGAGGCGGCGGCGGCGGTGGCGGTGGGGGTGGAGGCGGCGGTGGCGGCGGCGGTGGTGGCGGCGGCGGTGGCGGCGGCGGCGGTGGGACTGGTCGTGGTGGCGCTGTGCAGCGTGGAGGCTTTGGTGGTGGCCAGCGCCAGCAGCAGCAGCGTTCTCGTGAGATCCCCTCGCCCCAGCAGCTTCGTGAGTGGTACGCTGGGCGCCAGCGGTCTGCGGGAGCTGGTCCCTGTGCCTACGTCCTGCGTACCGGCGACCACACTGGTGAGACGTGCGGCGGCCCACACGCCACCCAGCGCTGCTTCGGCCGCCTGACTGACGCCTGGCGTGCCCAGTTCCCTGACTCCTCTGAGATCCCTCGCTGGGGTGATCTGCTCAAGTCGGGTGTTGCTATCTTTGATCTTGACTTTGATGCTATCCTTGCTGCTATGTATGTTGTGTCTATTAGTGCTGAGGGTGACTGTTACCTGTGTGTTCCGCCCGACCCGGGCATTAAGGCTGCTGCTCTAGGCGCTAGTGAGTCTGCTGCTCCAGGTGCTCGTGCGTGTGCTGCTCCAGGTGCTGGTGAGTCTGCTCTCTCAGGTACCGAGTCGGCTCAGGTCTTGCACACCTTCACCCTTGACTCGGGTGCTTCCCGCTCCTTCTTTCGCGACTGCACCACTCTCACGCCGCTCAGTCGGCCAGTGGCAGTCTCCCTGGCTGACCCCTTTGGGGGTCCGGTCCTTGCTCACTCCTCCACGTTCCTGCCGTGTCTGGCGGTCCCCTTTGGCTCCCTGTCGGGCCTCCACCTCCCCTCGTTCTCCATGAACTTGGTGAGTGGAGCTGACCTTCAGGATGCATGGGTTGACCAGTTCACTCCAGGCGGTCAGAGGGTGACCCACTGTTCGTGTACTCGGACAGGCCGGCACCTGGCCACGTTCGCCCGTCAGTCTGGGTCGAGCCTGTACACCCTGTCTACTGTGCCTCCCCCGGTTGCTGCGTCTGCTCAGGTAGCTGCGTCGGGTCAGGTGTTTGCTGCAGCATCCCGGTCTGGTCCTGAGTCTGCCCCCTGCTCGTGTCGCCTCCTGTCGCACCAGACACTCCTCTGGCACCACCGCCTTGGTCACCCCTCCCAGCCTCGTCTCCGAGGCATGGCCTCTCGTGTCCTTGTCACTGGTCTGCCCCGGTCACTCCCTCCCCTCCCTCCGGGGCCTGCCCCTACCTGCGTTCCCTGCGTCGAGGGGCGGCAGTGTCGCGATACATATTTTATATGTATGTTTATAACTGCCTGTAGCATTAGCTTTAGTGTAGTTATGCCTTCTTACATTAGTGGTGCACCTTCTCTATGTTCTTTTGCTATATGTTCTTGCCAACCTATAGTGAAACATTCCATTCTCAATCCTCCTTGGTACAACCACCTCGACACCCGCTTGGGATAGGCTACTAAGCCTAGGCCCTTAGTAAACCCCGGTTCCTAGACTAAATTCGTTTCGTAACATGGTATTGAGCTAGGTCGTTCCCGACCTATTTTCTTAAGGGCCCACCGTTAGTTATCGTGATGGCGCGTCCCGTCAAGCAGCAAATCGCGGCTCCGTTAGTCCCTCCCCGTCGCTCGCCCGTAGCAAAATCCGTCACGGCAGTCGTGACAGACGCAACGGTCGCGGCGGGAGTGACGGCGCTCGTCGACCCGCTGTTTCGCGCCGTCGCTCTCGCCCCCGTCGACCCCGTGCACTACCCGCTACTGCAGCCTGCCACCCGCGAAATTTCCGCTGTTGCAGCCCGTCGCCCGTCCCGTCGCGCTGCCGTCCGTCACCGGATCCGTGCCGCCCGTCGCCAGATTCCCGCCACCCGTCCGCACACCGTCGCCCGTCGCCCTGCTTCCCGTCGCCCCAACCGCTCCTTATCCCGCCGTCGCTCTGCCCGTCGCATTACCCCCGCCCCCTGCCCATCACCCCCCCCCGTCGTGGTTGTTCGTGTGTGCAGCAGCGGTCGTTGTGGAGGGGGTGAGGGAAGAAGGGCAGGGAGTGGCGGCCGAACGCTGTGGGGGAGAGGGAAGCACGGGAAGGGCATGGCGGGACCACCACCAGCTACACCGCCAGCAGAGACCCCGCCAGCAGAGACCCCGCCAGCAGAGACCCCGCCAGCAGCGTCACCGCCAGCAGAGACCCCCGTCCCGCCCAGCGCGCATCACCTGCCATTGGACCCGCCAGCCGCCAGCACCAGCACCAGCACCAACGCCAGTCACAAGCGACAGCACCAGCTGCAGGGCCAGCTGCCAGCACCAGCACCAGCTACAGGGCCAGCCGCCAGCACCAGCACCAGCTCCAGGGCCAGCCGCCAGCACCAGCACCAGCTTCAGGGCCAGCCGCCAGCGCCAGCACCAGCTTCAGGGCCAGCCGCCAGCACCAGCACCAGCTGCAGGGCCAGCCGCCAGCAAGGAACCCCGCCAGCAGAGAACCCCGCCTGCAGAGAACCCCGCCAGCAGGGAACCCCGCCAGCAGAGAACCCCGCCAGCAGAGAACCCCGCCAGCAGAGAACCCCGCCAGCAGAGAACCCCGCCAGCAGAGAACCCCGCCAGCAAAGAACCCCGCCAGCAGAGAACCCCGCCTGCAGAGAACCCCGCCTGCAGAGAACCCCGCCAGCATTGAACCCCGCCAGCAGAGAACCTCGCCAGCAGAGAACCCCGCCAGCACCAGGAACCAGCACCAGCGCCAGCCGCCAGCACCAGAGGGGTTGAGTGGGCGGGTAAGGGGGTGGAAGAAGTAAGTCGGGCATTTGCAGCCGTTGCCTGTAGCAGGCACGCCCCCGGAGGTGCTGAGCGGTGCTGTCCAGCTGCTCGTTGCAGCCACAGCGCCTGCTCTCACGCCCACCTGCCGGGTCCTGCACCTGTCGCTGATGCATCTGCCGTGGCTGAGGTCACTGTGGCCCTATCTGCCATCACTGTACCTGCTGCCTGTAGTAGGCACGCCCCCGGAGGTGCTGAGCTGCGCTGTCCAGCTGCTCGTTGCAGCCACGGCGCTTGCTCTCACGCCCACCTCTCGGGTCCTGCGCCTGCCGTTGTTGCAATTGTCATGGTTGATCTGTGTTGCTATTTCCTCTGCTTCTCCTACCTCCTGCCCAGGTTCCGGGGGTGTGACTTGCTCCAGCTATGTGCTGCAGACAGTTAAGGGGGTGTGTCGCGATACATATTTTATATGTATGTTTATAACTGCCTGTAGCATCAGCTTTAGTGTAGTTATGCCTTCTTACATTGGTGGTGCACCTTCTCTATGTTCTTTTGCTATATGTTCTTGCAAACCTATAGTGAAACATTCCATTCTCAATCCTCCTTGGTACAACCACCTCGACACCCACTTGGCCTAGGCTACTAAGCCTAGGCCCTTAGTAAACCCCGGTTCCTAGACTAAGTTCGTTTCGTAACAGGCAGCGCGCCGCACCTCACTCCTCCGAGTTCCCTCCGACGGAGGCTCCCCTGCAGACTCTGCACATGGACGTAAGGGGCCCAGCCCGCGTCCGTGGCCAGGGTCACGAGCGCTACTTTCTGCTGGTCGTTGACGACTACTCGCGTTACACCACAGTCTCCCCCTTGCGTCGCAAGGGTGAGGTCACAGAGGTGTTGATCGACTGGATCCGCGCTGCTCGTCGTCAGCTTTGAGAGAGTTTTGGCTCGGACCTTCCTATCCTGCGTCTGCACTCGGACAGAGGTGGTGAGTTCTCCGCTGACCTTCTGGGAGCCTTCTGTCGTGCGGAGGGCATCCGCCAGACGTTCACACTTCCGGCCTCTCCACAGCAAAATGGGATTGCTGAGCGCCGCATTGGCATGGTCATGGACGTCGCTCGTACGTCCATGATCCATGCGGCTGCTCCCCATTTTCTGTGGCCGTTCGCGGTTCAGTACGCTGCGCATCAGATCAACCTCCAGCCCCGGGTCTCTGTGCCGGAGACCACACCTACTCTGCGGTGGACGGGGAAGGTTGGCGATGCATCTGCGTTCCGTGTCTGGGGATCTCGAGCTTTCGTCTGCGACTTGTCTGCGGACAAGCTGTCCTCCCGTGCTGTTCCCTGCGTCTTCCTTGGCTTTCTCCCTGACGCGCTTGGTTGGCAGTTTTACCACCCCACCTTGCGCCGTGTTCTGTCCTCTCAGGACGTCACGTTTGACGAGTCGGTTCCTTAATACCGTCTCTTCCCCTACCGCGCTGCCCCCCTCCCCCCCCCGCCGCTCTTCCTCGCGCCAGGTCCTCCCCCGGTAGACCCCCTCCCCCCTCAGGGTCCTGCCCCCTCAGGTGTGTCCCAGGTAGACGCAGTCGAGCCCGTCGAGGTAGCAGTTGACTCTCGTGCTGAGTCTGGGGGTGCTGAGCCTAGGGGTGCTGAGTCTAGGGGTGCTGAGCCTGGGGGTGCTGCGACTGCGGGTGCTGAGCCTGGGGGTGCTGCGACTGGGGGTGCTGAGCCTAGGGGTGCTGCGACTGAGGGTGCTGAGCCTGCGCGGGTGGCGTCTGGAGGTGCTGTGCCTGGAGGTTCTTTAGGTGTTTTGTCCCGGCGGGAGCCACTCTCTCCGCGGCAGCTGCGCGAGTGATTTGCTCGCCGCTGGAGCCGTGCTGCTGGAGCTGCTGGGGGTTCTGGAGCCACTAGTCCCGGAGGTGCTCGTACTGGAGGTACTGGAGCTGCTGGGCCTAGTGGTGCCGCTGGTGCTGGTGCTGCTGGAGGGTCTGGAGCTGGTGGTCCTGCTGGAGCTGGAGCGTCTGGAGGTGCTGGTGTTGGAGGTGCTGCTGGAGCCGGTGCTTCTGGGGGTGCTGGAGTTGGTGCTGCTGGCGCTGCTGGAGGTCCAGGTGGAGCTGGTAGTGCTGCTGGAGTTGGCGCTTACGCTGGGGGTGCTGGTGCTGTCCCTGCTGGTTCTGGAGGCTCTGCGTGGCCGCGGCCGTACTTCGTTCCGCTCCTTGAGCAGGTTCTTGGTCTCCCACCTTCTACTGGTCCTGCTCCTTCCTTAGAGTGTCCACCGCCTGTCCAGTCACACTTATGGTCACTGCCTGCTCCCTCTCCTTATACTGGTCCTACCGGGGGTCTTGCTGAGCTTCGTGAGCCTGAGTCTCGTCCTGCGTCACCTGTTCGTGCCGCTCGCACTGGTCGTCGTGTTCCGCGTCAGCGTCCTCCTGCTGTCCCAGGCATGCACCAGATGGCACTACGTCCTTCCACTACTCCGCAGCATGTCCCTCTGTCGTCTCCTCTTGCGTCCTCTCTTCCTGCTCTTGCTGACCCGGAGTCTGACTCCCTTCGTGCTGCCAGTCCTACTGTCACGCGTCTCCTGGCTACTATTGTCACTGACCCTTCCTTTGAGTCCACTGCTGCGTCTGCCTTAGTAGCTGAGCTTGTCGATTTCGCTGCTCACTGTCGTCTAGACTACGCTCGTCTTGTTGCTGAGTCTGAGTCTGTCTGTCCTCCGTCCGTCGGGGGTGAGTATGCTCTTCGCACGGACGTCCTTGAGGACAGGCAGGAGGAGTTCCAGTGTTTTGCTGCTGCTTTACCTCATCTCGTGTCCATGCTGCTTGCCCCTGAGGGAGACCCGGATGCACCAGACATCCCGACTCCGCGCTCGTACGCAGAGGCGATAGAGGGTCCCTACTCCTCTCAGTGGCAGTCAGCCATGGACGCAGAGATGGCATCTTGGAAGTCCACAGGCACCTACGTCGACGAGGTTCCCCCACCTGGGGCGAACATCGTCAGTGGCATGTGGATTTTCAGGGTGAAGCGGCCGCCGGGTTCTCCGCCTGTCTTCAAGGCGCGTTATGTGGCTCGAGGCTTCAGTCAACGGCAGCGAGTTGACTACTTTCAGACCTTCTCTCCCACCCCAAAGATGACCACTCTTCGGGTGCTGCTGCACATAGCCGTTCAGCGCGACTACGAGCTTCACTCTCTTGACTTCAGCACTGCTTTCCTACAGGGCAGCCTGCACGAGGAGATCTGGCTGCGCCGCCCACCTGGCTTCACTGTGTCGTTTCCTCCTGGTACCCAGTGGAGCCTCAGGCGGCCAGTCTACAGTCTCCGCCAGGCGCCCCGTGAGTGGCACGACACACTGAGGACTACGCTTGCGGCCCTTGGGTTTGCTCCTTCCACTGCTGACCCGTCGCTGTTTCTACGCACCGACACCTCTCTGCCGCTGTTCTACATCCTCGTGTACGTCGACGACTTGGTCTTTGCTACTGCTGACACTGCTGGACTCGCCCACGTGAAGTCCGAGCTGCAGAAGAGATACACGTGCACAGACCTGGGTGAACTGCGCAGCTATCTTGGCTTGCAGATCACCCGAGACAGAGCACGGTGCACCATTACCTTGACTCAGTCACACATGGTGCAGCAGGTCCTTCAGCGCTTCAACTTCACGTACTCCTCGCCTCAGGCCACTCCTCTGTCTACTCGCCACTCGCTCTCAGCTCTGCCTTCGGATGAGTCCGTAGAGCCGATTGGCCCGTACCCAGAGCTTGTTGGCTGCCTCATGTACCTGATGACCTGCACTCGACCTGACCTGGCATACCCTCTTAGCATCCCCGCACGCTATGTTGCTCCTGGGAGACACCGAAAAGAGCACATGGATGCAGCTAAGAGGGTGTTGCGCTACTTGTGCAGTACATCGGGCATGGGGCTCGTGCTTGGAGGGCGGATTCCAGTGGTCCTCACTGGTCACGCAGACGCGTCTTGGGTTGACGACTTGGCTACGCAGCGGTCGTCACAGGGTTACACCTTCAGCCTTGGTTCCGGCTCTGTTTCGTGGCGGTCTACCCGCTCGTCTTCTGTTCTCAGCTCCAGCTGTGAGGCTGAGATCTACGCTGGGGCCATGGCTGCACAAGAGTTACGCTGGCTTACCTACCTGCTGACCGACCTGGGAGAGCCGCCTCGTTCTCCTCCAGTTCTGTACGTAGACAACAAGGCTATGCTGGCCTTGTGTCGGGAGCACAGACTGGAGCACAGAACGAAGCACATTGCTCTTCGCTACTTCCTTGCACGTGAGCTGCAGCAGCGTGGTCAGCTGCGCCTTGCTTACGTGGCCTCTCGGGCCAACACTGCTGATATCTTTACCAAGGCACTTCAGCCTTGTGATCATCAGCGTTTCTGTACTATGCTAGGTCTTGTGCCTACCTGGCCTCACTTGCTTACCTCTTGACTTTGCTTTGTACTGTGATCTATATATACTTGCACCTGCATGTTTACCCTTGCTAGTTTGTGATCACTGTCTTGCCCGTTCACCTTGATTTATAATCCTGCATGTGAACTGGCCTTGTGGCCTCTGAACTTGTGCTCGAAATGTGTGGTGACGTTGTGATCCACCCTGAGCTTGTTTTGCTTTGCTTGACTGGTCTTGTGACCCCTAGTTCTCCCCCACTTTGCCTATGGGGGTGTGTTAGATATATATGACTTAGCCTTTGTAGGCTATAGTGGGGTAGACAGTAAGGGGTACAGGTTTCTAGGGTTTCATATTTGTACCCAACACTTTCCTAGTTCATTCTCATTCCTCATTTCTTCACAAAGTGCAGTCGGGTGAGTGACCAACGCGGACAAAACACGGGAGACAACAGGACGGGAGGCATGGAGGTAGTCGGACAACGGATCGTGAAGCACAGTGAGGGTCGACTCAGGGGGCTGTGGAAGGACATGAGGAGGTGGAACACGAGAGCGAAGAACAAGGTGGAACGGACCGTCTACGCGGTAACGGGACCGACGATGCTCTGGGGACACAGCACGACTGAGGGAGAAAGACGAGTCCACAAGGACGAGGAAAGGGACTC